AGAAAGGGGTTGAGTCTATAGAGCTTACTTGTCGTCTTTCGTTAACTCCTTTCGGGACTGAAGCTCCTTGATCTCTTTGGAGAAGACTGAGCCTTGTACGATGGCTATGATCGCAAGTTCAGCTTCTTGTCTTTCTTCAAGACTTGTAGGTTCATTGGTTATCTTTTGCTTTCTCTTGAACTCTTTCCCAAACCTGATGAGTCTTGCGATAGCTTTGACTAGTCTTGACCAGCTGGAGAACTTCACAAAACGTTCCGCCAAAGAATCTATACTTGCCAGCGTATGGTGTGCAACTACTTTCCTTACTTCTGGGTCTCTGATCCAAGTTCTTCCACCTTAACCTCTCCACTGGGTAGCTCTTCTTGCCAGAGAAAACTCGGTCCTCTAAACCAGTTGGAAGAAACAAGGTCTTTGGCTTTTAATCCACGAGACGCATGGTCTGCAGGATTTTCATCTGAAGGAATGTATTTCCACTGTGTTGGTACAGTACTCTCTTTAATGCGTTGGATTCGATTCGCTACAAAAACGTGAAAACGTCTTGCTTCATTGTTGATGTATCCCAACACAACTTGGGAATCTGTCCAAAAGAATTCTTGAGCATTTTCCAGCTCTAATTCTGCTTTGAGCATGTCACTTATGCGTACCGCGACGACTGCTGCAGACAGCTCCAATCTTGGTACTGTAGTCACCTTTGTGGGCGCTACTCTGGATTTGGCAAATACAAGAGAGCAATGGATTTGTCCTGATACACTGATGGCTCTTAGGTAGGTACAAACTCCATATCCTGCAACACTTGCATCTGAAAAATAGTGGAGTTCATATCTCTGAACTTCTTTGAAGTCCTTAGGAAGGTAACAACGATAAACTTTAACATCTGCAAGGTTCTTGACATCTGAGACCCAGGACTCCCACCGGGGCTTGAGTTCACTTGAGAGTGGCACATCCCAATCTGCTTTATCACGACACATCTGTTGTAATATTTGCTTGCCGAGTAAAACGAAAGGTGCCACAAGTCCAAGTGGGTCAAAGATGGAGGCCACAGTAGACAATACACCTCTTCTGGAAAGTGGGTGCTCCTTCACAACCACTAGAAACTGGAAAGAATCAGAGGCAACACACCACTTAATTCCTAGAGCTCTGTCTGTCTGTTGCTCACCAAGTGCAAGGTCTTGAGATTTCACTGTCTCCGCACAGTCTTCTTTAGGAAGTGAGTTGAGGACTTGTTGACTGTTGGAAACAAACTTATTAAGTTGTAATTTCCCAGTTTGACAGAGTTGCTTTGCTTCCTTCACTAGATGAATTGCTTCCTTTTCTGAATGAAAACTGATCAATCCATCGTCCACGTACAAATTTCTTTCAATAAATTTTATTGTTGCTTCACTAAACTGTCCTTGACCCTGTGCTGCAATGTACTTGAGACCAAAGTTTGAGCATGCTGGTGATGAAGCGGCTCCAAACAGGTGGACACGCATTCGGTAGACCGATGGAGTTGAGTGGAAATCTCCATCATCCCACCACAGGAAGCGAAAATAATCTTGATCTTCTACTCTGACTCTGAATTGATGAAACATGCGTTTGATATCACACATCACTGCCACTTGCCCTTTTCGGAATCTGCATAGGACTCCTACAAGTGTGTTGGTTAACTCTGGTCCTGTCAACAGGTAATCATTCAATGAGACTCCTTCATATTTTGCTGAGCAATCAAACACCACTCTTATTTTTCCTGGTTTCTGAGGATGGTAAACCCCATGGTGAGGTATGTACCATGCTGGATGTTTGTACAGCTCTTCAGGAGGCACCTTCACTGCATCTCCACACTCTATTATTTCATTCATAAACTTCACATAGTCACTATGATATTGTTTGTCCTTTCCGAATCTCTTCTTAAGGCACTTGAGTCTGTGTTCCGCACAGCTCTTGTTGTTTGGTAGAATCGGTCTATCCTCCTTAAATGGTAAAGGTAGCTCACAATGTCCATCTTCTTGAATTTTCACTCCATGCTCCATTATGGAAATGAAGCATAAATCCTCATGAGAGAGATGAGAATCTTCCACTTTCCTTTCATTAAAATCAGATTCAAGAACTTTAATCACATCTGATGACGTGAAAACTTCCTTGACCTGAGTGCGGCAAATAAAGTCCACCTCTTTAGATAGCTGATCAGATGGTGAATTGGGTGTCACTTCCTTAACAATTATCCTTTGACTACATCCAATAATGTCTCCATAGTCAACACAATGATCACCACCTCCAACTATTGTCCAGCCCAGATCTGTCCTTTGAGCAAAGGGCTCATTGTCTTTACCTGACACAATTTCTCTTGGTGCCAATGCTTGCGAACAGTTATAACCTATTAGTAGAGCAACATCGCATTCAATAAGAGGGGCGATCTCTTCAGCAAGGTGCTCCAGGTGAGGCCATGCTTTTGCAGTCTTTGGTGTGGGAATATGGCTTAAATTGGCAGGAATAAACTCTCTAGTATATGTCATAGGAAGAAGGATTCTCTTTGAAGAGTAGAAGCCTCTGATTTGTAGCCCAGAGAGCCTTTGACTTGCAACATCCGTATCTTTAGATGACAATGTAGAGAGCTTTAAATGTACTTCTATTTTCTCTGTGTCCAGAGCATCTGCCTTTTCTTTGAGAACAAATGTAGTGTCACTTTGACTATCCAGAAGGGCGTATACTAATATTTCCTGTTCTGGATTGCTTGCTGTGGATAACCAAACTGGAATCATTGTAGATGTGAGATTGCTCTTATCACCTTGGACAACACGGTTTGAGATTGCTTCATTTGATATTTCTTTACCTTGTTCTTTGGTTACTTTCACTTCACTTCACTTTGTTCTTTATCGCTGTCCCTGTTTCTTCTGGACTCTTTGTCCCGTTCTTCGTGTAAACATGTTGGGTGTTTTCCCTTACAGGTGTTACAAATGCTTCTTCTTTCACATTTTTTGGATTGGTGTCCCAAGCTGAGACATCCAAAACATAGTCCTTTTAATTTTACAAACTTCACTCTTTCAGGTATGGCTTTCTCCATAAACTTCCGACAATTCTGAATGTTGTGATTTAATTTTTCAAAGAAAACACATTTGTTTGTTTCTGTTCTCTCTTCTGTGCTGCTTGCAAAGGCCTTAGCACCGACACTTTGAGCCTTTAAAGTTTCACTTTCTCTGAGTCATTTGCTTTGGGAGCATGTAGCGATGTCACTGGGTTACATGCTATTTTAGCTTCTCTTATGACAAAGTCAACAAAGTTGCTGAATGTTGGAAATGAACCTGTCTCCTCTTCAATCTGAATGACTTGTCTATTCCATCTTGCTGTAAGCCAATCAGGCAACTTGTTGAGCATTCTCTGGTTCTCACTGCAGTCATTTAGAACCTCGAGACTCTTTATCTGAGACATTGCTGCTTCACAACCCCGGAGAAAATCAGAGAACTCTCTCAGTTCAATACAGTCCTTTGTTCCAATTTTCGGCCATGATGAGAGCTTATCTCTGAAGGCTTTAGCGATTATGAATGAACTTCCGTATCTTTCCTCTAGAATGTTCCAAGCTGACTGATATGCTGTGTCTGTTTCCAGTAGAAAGTAAGCTTCGATTGTCTTTCTTGCAGGACCACCAACATACTTTCGTAGGTAGTAGATCTTTTCACCCACTGGAATGTTCTTTCTTTCAATCAACATTTGAAAGGAAATTTTCCAGTCCTTGTATTTGATTGGATCACCATTGAAAACAGCAGGTTCAGGAACTGGTAGCCGGCTAATGCTGATGGTCTCTGCTAAAACCTTAGCTAGTACTGCTGTTCCGTCTTCCTGTGTCGTAATGTTGGTAGGTTGCCCAATAGAGGTGTCTTGTGGCATGTTGAAAGCTTGTGCTCTTGGATTGAGGTTTGAAGTTGGAAGCTTGGGTTCAGACTGGTTTACAACATTGTCTATGCTTCTTTGTGATTGGTTCCTATTATGCAAAATATCTGATATTTCTTCATCAGAGCTGTATTCCTGATCATACACTTTCAGTCTTGCTTTAGCAGCATTCATTTGCTTTACAGCTTCTAAACGCTTAAGCTCTCTTCTTCTTTGCTCTAATAATCTTTGAGTTTCAGCATTTTCTGCTTCTTGTTTTGCAAGCCTTTCTTTGTTTTCTAATTCAAGCTCTTCAAGTTTCTTTCTCTCACACTCCATTTCTTCCATCATCTTTAGAGTGGCTTCCATGGCAGCCAGTTCTGCTGCTGCCTCTTGCCTTTTGACAGACAGCTTACTTGAGTGGCTTGAACGTACACTACTTGACTGTTTGGAACTTTGGTAACTTTTTGGAGTGCTCACAGAACTAGCTTCAGTACGGCCCAATGATCTCTTTTCTAGATCCCTATCATCTTCTTTTGCAGCCATATTTTCTTGGGCTTGCTTAATAATTTTTCTGGAAACTGCATCACATGTGTCCACTCTACGACGAGTGTCTCTATCAGGTGTTTCAAAACTGCGCAGCTCTTCATAGACTTGCATCACTTCTCCTGCTGTATGTTGAATTTGAACAATATGATTGTGCAAACTTGTTGTTATATGTGCTTCAAGTGCTCTTTTAGCTTGTTTAGCAGCAGTTTTCCATTTGTCATAACTGACCTTGAAACAAGCATAAAGCTTATTCATTTTTTCTTCGTGCATCACTTGGCCTTTTTCAGTAAATTTCCTCTGTCTTGTGCTTTTCCTTAAGCCTTCTGCAGAAGCAGCTTCACTTGTGGTCACCTCTTCAGGGTTTCCTTTTTGTTGCACCTTCACAGCTTCAGTCATACAGTCTTCCTGCATGGCCATTTCACTGTCCATTTCGTTTATGTGATAAAGGTTTACTTAAATCTAACTTAAAAATATTTCTATAATAAAATGTAGCTTCTAGCACTAACCTTTCAATTATTATTTTTTCCTTAAATGAACTCAAATTTAGTGTAACTTTAACTCTACTTAAATACCACCTTTTTTTCCTTATTTTTTTATTTTATTAATCTTTTTAAACTTAAATTATTTCTATCTTCAGGATGAACTAAAATGTGGTATAACACCTTAAACAGAACAATAAATCTTCTTTCACTTGTTACAAAACACAGAAAAAATATCTTTCATGTGAAACTAAATTATAACTTGCCTTTAAAGTACCTTATTTCCCTCTTAAATTGTTAAAACTCTTGTAATAGACCTAAATAGCTTGGTAAAAATTACCGTGCTTCAAACAGAAAAAATTTCTTAAACTTCAGCTTGACTTTATGCAACACTGCTTACCCCCTTAAGCACTTATAGAGTCCCTTTCAAAGTTAGCAAGATTAATTCACCTCTTCACATTTAACTTATTTTAAACGTGTTACTTGGTGGTAAATTAAGCCCGCTGCACTCCTGGACATCTGCTGCCTTTGGTTCGGGTCATTTCAGCTTGCGGTCAGTCTTTCCTTTGATGCTAGAGAGTGACGTCACCCCTTAACGAGCTGCTCCTTGTCGGCTCCGCAGCGGCTGCAGGCTCCATTCCCCTCTCTGCACTTCTCCAACCCGAAGCAGGCTGAGTTCTGACTGTTACTCCTCTAGAGATAATCAAGGCTCAACGTCGTTCTTTTGGTTTTAACAGCCATTTATTGTGGACACGTCTTACAAAGCCCCAAAAAATGCCGTCAGAACTAAGAAGGGAAACAGAACCCAAATTAGCTCTAAACAAATATAAAGCTTTACACAAATAAATATAGGTAAAACAAAGTCATACCTCATTGGCCGCATAAACTCCAGAGGAATAAAGATAACTTATACAGCTTTTCTTAGAAAATCAGTCTTAAAGCTTTCTGGTGAAACTTCTTGAAGAAACGTGCAAAAAAAAGAATTGTGTCAATCAATCTTCCCGTGGGCAACAACGTGAAATGCGGAACAAAAAACATAGGTTCCTCCTTACATTTTAATGAGCTTTTTAACCAATGTACAAAAACATAAATTTACTAAAAGTTATTTATTTATTTATGATTAAACTTTTAATTTCAATACTATTATGTATTAACTCTCGTTTTTAACTAAATATTAGAACATTTAAATGAGTTGACTCTGATGGCAGCAACAACTTGTGCAATGTATAATGTGCAACTATTTAATTATCTATGCAGAAACCTGTTTCTCTATATTTAACACCCAGTGCAATAACTATATATATATATATATATATATATATATATATATATATATATATATATACACATCTATATAAATACCCAATGTAAACACCCTGTGCAATGATGTATACTAATCCTAGTATATAAAAAAACTGTATATACTATATATGCACTTTTTCTTCCTTTCTTCTCCTTTCACTACTTGAGCCGATGTAACGAGTAGATTTCTGCACTGTGAGATCAATAAACTCAATCAATCAATCAAAATAACCATACAATCAATACAACCGATATTGGCATAAACTATGATAGCATTTTAACTGACGATATTTCAGTATTGCAAAAGTTGATGTTTTTGGCCTCAGCTCCAACTAGCCAATAAACCTGTGATCAATCTCCTTGTAATCAAAGTAAGAATATTGGGTCTAAGTTTCAGCGCCTGTTACATTTGAAGTGATCCAAAGTTGTTTTTTTTCAGGGCCATATACATAAAAATTTGGACCCCGGAATTGCAGTGATTTCTTCAGGTCACAGTTTTAGGGAGATTATAGACAGTTCTAGCAAAGGAAGTAAAGGATTTTCTCTCAAAACCCTGTCTAGGTTAAGGTAATTTGAGATTACAGAGGGAAGTTTTTGCGTGCAGAATTTCCTGTTGGTCCTACAATGTTGCTGGTAGCCTCTTGGCATATTCCCTGACCCCATTTTTATCTCCTGCTGTCAGGATCCCAGTTTTTGTGTTTGTCTATTTGTCTTGTCTTTTGTGTTTCTCCCTTCCACCACCAGGAGGCGCCTGGCTCCAGTTCGCCTCCTCACGCACCTGCAAACGATTGCCTCATCACCGGACTGACTTAAGCTGCTGGTTGCCACTACTTCGACGCCAGAGTGTTTGCCAGTTTGGGGTACTCTAGCCAAGCCTTGTTTATTCTGAGTCTAATCTGAGTTTTTGCATTTTGAGTTTTTGTTCTCTAGCCAAGCTGAGATCTCATTGAGTTTAACTGAGCGCTTGTTTCTCCCTGAGTCTCAACTTTGTTTGTTCTTTGCCTTTCCTGCCGAAAGGCCTTCTCCCAAGTGGGATCAACTGAGTCTTACACTGAGCGACGGATTCCAAACAGGAGGTTTGGATCCAGCCACCGTTGAGCACGCTGAGACCACTCTCTGAGTAAGGAATTCATCTTCACCATGACCCGTTCAAGTACCACAGGAAAACTGAGTTGCAACCAGCGGCTGCATCATTCCACTCCGTCCGAGTTCTGGGTAAACCCTGTTCCACCCTCCACCAAATCAATCAAACTCTGGAAGACCAACACACAGACTGGAGTCTACGTGTCTCTTCTTCTCTGGAAACGTGAGTGGCAACAAATCCTCTCCTTCAAGATAAACAACTCCAATTTCCCACTGAGCCTGAATCTAACAATCTGTCTTCCCCTCATCTTCCAGTTTCCCGGCTGAGCAGAGTTCGGAGGAACTCTGCACCGAACTCATATACTCTTCAATAAAAACCGTTGAACTTTTATACTGTGTCTCTCTGTTTGGCTTTGCTGCATGTGGGTCCAAGCCCATAGAAAAATCATGACACCCGCATTCTGGAATTTTAGAAAAATTTCCAGCTTTTTTCCCTTTTGGAAGTTAACTTAAAATTGCTGTTTGGAAAAACAAAAGAAAAAACTCATGATTACTTCAAAAGTTGTATACATTTTTTTATATTTATCACCAGAAAGGGTCACCATCTTCTCACATGCCCGGTGAAATGCTAAGGTTACATAAAGCCGGGCATACACTGTCCGATATTTTCAATTGTTGCTCACAGCTACAGCTCAAACTGTACGATAAAACCGTAGGGTTGAATAGTTCACAGCTCTCGATGTTTGATCTCACACTGTGCGACCCGACGCTCTGATGCGATCTACCTGCTGACACTGCATGTCCAAAAACCACCCGTCAGACCCAGCGCAAAGAGATGGCAATGACATTCTGGAAGAAGAAGAACTCCCTTGTTTGCACATGTGCAATGCTGGAGGTTCTGGTAAATCGGCTCATCGCTCTGCTTCAACTGCAGGATTTGCACACGAACACCTCATGACGGCCGACTGAAATTGAAACATGTTTGATTTTCTCCCGACCTTACGATTTCTGATCGTGAGGTGGTTATGAGAGGCTGATCACCCCTCTTTATGCCTGTAAACTAGACGATGCAAGACGCACAATAAGGCTGAAACTCAGCCCGATTGAAAAAATTCTTGTACGACTGGAAAATCAGCCCGAAAAGGGTAAAGAGTCGTACAGTGTATGCCTGGTTTAAGTTGTTTATTTCCTTTGACTGACTAAACGTAGACAATGCTACACTGTGTTACTGCCTCAAATTTTTCATGAGCCCTTATACATGAGACCATGGGAAATGGGGGTGCTGCAGCGGCCCCCAAGTGGGAGATAAAAAAAATATTTATTAAAAAATATTTGCACAATTTTTTAATTTCTAATGAATATTTGGGGAAATGTTTTAAAGTTTTTTATTTTACTATTACATGTATTTGGATTTTAATTTAATTATTTTGAAGCCTAATCAACACAAGTTCATGGAAGCTAGGTTCTGGCAACGTGAAGGTAGCTAGAGCATGGTATCCAACCCGCGGCAGCACACTAGTAAATTAACATAGTCTAATGAATGACAGAAACGATCTGCACCGGAAAGCATCAAAATTGTCTCACAAAAGTCATAAAACATTTTTTAAAGATGTGTATCAGCATTCTTTAGAGAGTTAAGGATAGAAATAAGTAATTTTAGTACCATAATTAGATTATTTATGGACACCCGGATGTATATCTGTTCACACATGCGCAGGACGTGCTTCTGGGACGGATCGGATAGTGACAAGCGTCTTAGGACAACTCTCCCCTCCTCCTCCCTTTGGTCTTCTGCATCTTCATCATCTCTTGTGATTTCTACATTACGGGGTGATGCGCTCCGACTCAGAGTGAACTGATTTAAAATTACCAACATTTCTATTTAACATAACATTACTCATTACTGCCTTTGGTGGATGGAGCTAGCACTACAGCACCTTGCAGATGCCATTTATGTCAAATTGATTTTGGTGTAAAAAACATGGCAACATCCTTGTGAAATTATTTTATACAAAGTTATTCAAACTAAAGAGCAGTATTTATACTATATTACATTTACATTAAAAATTCTATTGTTACAACTAATCATGGATCCCTTTAAGTTGGAAATTCTACTACTGATGGAAAAGTACATCAGAGTCCCAGCTGAAGCCCCAAATTTTATCCGATTAAGACTCCATGAAGGGAGCTAAAGATTATGGTGATGTCAAGGATACCTGCGCTCTTGAAAAAACCTGGAAGTCATCACTAAATAATCAAAATATCAATTCAGTTTATTTATATCGGGACAATTCACAACACACGTCATCTCAAGGCACTTTACAGAGACGATTCAACCAGATCATACAGTCAGATTGGTTTAAAGGTGCTATCTAAGGAAAACCAGCTGATTGCATCGACTCATTGACTCGAATGGCAATCCCTCACACTAAGCATGCTTGTAGGGACAGTGGAGAGGAAAAACTCCCTTTGAACAGGAAGAAACCTCCAGCAGAACCAGGCTCAGTGTGAGCGGCCATCTGCTGAGGCTGACTGGGGTTCAAGGAGACAGAAGCAGAGACACAAAAAGCAGCTGTAAAAGGAAACACACTCCGAGCCAACTCCATGTGAGAGGATGAAGAGAACACATCCATCAAGTCACAGTCAGAGAAACAGGACTACACTCAAAAACAGGCCAAGCTCAAACATCTATGAACAGTCGTGTTGATGGCAGCAGCACAGCTGATATTTCTCTACTATTATTCTCAACTGATATTCTCTCTATTTCTCAAATCTAAACTTGATAAAAGTTAATGAACAATGTATTAGCTAATTCTGTATTCCACTGCAAATGATGCCTTTAGCTAAAATATGCAAAAAAGGAAAAGCTGCAGGAAAATCCCTCCAAAGCACTTAAAATAGAGTGGTTTTTTTTTATTATTTTGAAAGCAAGTAATTTCTCATTTCTGTTTGATACAGACTGAAACTTGGATGGGATTTATCATCTTGCATCATTGCAAGTAAACAAGAATCCTATAAAGAGATGGTAAATAACTTATAGTAAATTTAAAGCGCTCCACAAACTTAACCTCCTGCACTGCAGAGCATGCAGTGATAAGGCCCTGCATATGGGAGACTCCCAGAGGAAATGTTGCGGTGATTTGCTGTCATTATCAGGTAAACAGGTCTGCAGCTGGTCCGGTGTTTGTAAATCTGCGGTGCTGTTGCAGGAATAACCATTTGCATTTGGCATGTGGTAGACTGTGGTATGTGGGCAGACTGAGCCGCCATGCAGGGCTGACAGACGTACAGTAAGGTACTCAGCCTGTGTTAGTGCAGATCCTGCCTCCCCACTACCTGTGGTCAGACAGGATGCAAATCTGGTGCTGACATATAAATTCCTCCCTCGGATTGAAGGGCTTCACATTAGGAGGTGACTGATAGGAGGGAAAGGAATTCGTCGACTGCAGATAAAGCTAGAGTTTCTACAAACTTCTATTCAGAAGAACTTTTAAAAGCTTGAAACACCTCATTTGACCTTATCTGGAGCTCCATTTCAGGTGAAAATAGAAAACTTTTATTGTCTTAACTGATCTAACCTTCGTATCTAAACCTGATTTGCATGAGACCAATTAAACTGCAATGGAAGAGTTGAACTGAGCCTATTTGGGTCTGTTTTCTGTTTTTCAAAAGCCAAATGTGAGAATCTTTTCCCTAGGCCCCCTCGGATAGTGAATGTGACCAATTTTATTCTGTCACAGCAGTGATGAATCGTCTGGTTTGAAGTGTGTTGACCTAATTTTTTGTCTACTTGTCATCTCTTTGAACACAGAAAAAAAAAAAAAATCGAGCTGCTGCAGAGCCCCTGAGAGACGGCGGAGTTTGACACGGCGTTCTTGAATTATTCTCAGGGGTTTACGGCTCAGATGTGTTTGTGAGGAAAATTAGTGATATGTTCGGAGTGAGTAAATTGACCTTCTGGGTCCTGACAGGCCTGGTGTCTGGCACCACCATCTTCTTTAACGTCTACATTTTTCTGATGACTCTGTGGAACAAGACGGCGGGGAAGGAGAGGAGTCCCAGTGACACCATCATCATGGCTCTGGCTGCGGCTGATTTGACACACCAGTTTGTGTGCTGCACCTGGATGACCATGGACGAAATTGACAGCGACTGCCGGATTGTGCCGATATTCTACTCTGTCCTGATGGTGATCCTGTCCAGCTTTAAGTTCATCATCATTTGGGACACTAGTTTTCTGACTTTCTACTACAGTACCAAGCTGGTCAGCACGCCCAACCAGTGCTACACCCAGATCCAAGCGAGCATCCTCAAACACGTGACCCTAGCCGTTTTCCTCATCCCCCTGTTTGGTTTTGCGACCTGCATTCCGATATTTGCAGTTTTTAACTATGAAAACATCACTGAGGAGGTAGATCCTGAGATGACATGTGGGTTTCTCCTGCCAAATTCCACCACCGGCTTGGTCTACGACATCATCTACCTGCTGCTCTCTGATGTGCTGCCTGGCTTGTTGATGTTGAAGTGCTGCATTTCCATCTCCATCCACCTGGTCATCCACCTGCGCCACATGAAAGCCAGCACCAACGGCGCCCACCCTCCGAAGCTCAGCTCCCAGATGAGGGTGGTCAAGATGTCTCTGTCCCTGGTGGTGAATTTCCTGATCTTCCTCAGTGTCGACCTGTACATCAACTACCAGGTTGTGGTGAAACACGATAACTCTATTGGGGTCACATTCTTCATCACGTCTGTCTATACCACTTTCACAGCCATGCTCCTCATCTATGGCAAACACACAGTTTGGAAAAACATGGTGAAGGACATCAACATGTGCCTGGGTGCATATCCATGCTTTTCCTACATCCAACTGCCAGAAGAAAAGGCTCCACCAGAAAAATGAAGATGCAGATTTTTTATCTTCTGAACTTTTCTTATTTTGTCACTTTACACCAAAACTAGAGTAAAAATGTGAAGCTAGAGAAAGATGAAAGGTTTTAAAATCCAAACATGCTGCATTTATTTCTATTCTTATTCTTTTAATTGAATAAGCATAAATAAAACAGTACAACTTAATGTCATTAAAATATAATCTTTAAATATATTCTACTTGACAGCTGTTCTGAGGAAGTCTGTTAGAGAACATCAGTGAAACACACAAAAGCACAGCAGACTGCTGAAGATGAAGTAGATTAGAGATGAAGATTAGAGCCAGAGGTCTGGTTGTTTGATCCACTGACAATAAGTCTGTTTTATTTTGGTGCTTGGCAATTCAGTGATTGAGAGACTAACAGAATTAATTAAAGTCTATTATCAAAGAGCAATGTTCTCCACTTTCTTAATTTTAGTGAGGATGCTGGCAGCAGCATTCTGGATCCGCTGCAGGTGTTTGATGGAGTTTTTAGGCAGACCTGTGAAGACACAGCTGCAGAAATCAATTCTACTAAAGATAAATACACAAATTTGTTTGTTTATCTTTATCTGCTGAGACATTAGACCTTTAATCCAGGAGGTTATCCAGGTGATAGAAGGCTCAGCTGAGTCCATCATTACTCCCAGATTTAGAAACAAGGTCATCTGCGTGTCACTTGCAGTTAACGCAAATTTGGCCCCACCCCTCCCACACACACTCTGCTGCACCTCCCCAAAATTGTACAGTGCCGCATACAGAAAGCATCTGATTGGTAAAATCTAGATCTGCTCTACTCTATGCATATTTCCTGTTTGGTACCTTACCAGCTTGTTTTGTTTGTATGGCCGCCATTTCAGAAAAAAATGACTCGTGAAGATGGACCAGCTAGAACAGCAAGGTGCGTGAGAACGCTGGGACCCTTTTTCCACCTGGATCCCCGCTCTTTCTCGCCCTCATGTCCCTCCAATGTCGCACAAACTTGCCCCTTGCGTTTTTCCTCTTCCTCGCCGCCTTGGCCGTATCTAGACCCACAGCTAGTTTGTAATTGTCCCTCTTGTGTTGTGACGTGGAACAACATAGACACGCTAGAAAATTGGGCGTAAATCAAAAATATCTGCGACAAGATCACTGCGACACACTGCTGCAGGAGGATAACCAGACTTTACCGACCCCCTGTTCAGAAATAGACAAGTATGGGGTATTTCAGGCTAAATGACCCCCATTCCTAAGGGGTGGACCCGTAGCCTCGTGAGACCATCCTGATCTCGTGAGCTTTCAAGATTTCACTTGCTAATCAGTCTGGAGACTCTCCCTTGAAGAAAATTTGGAGCCGTTCACCAAACGAACGTCCAACAGCGTTGGCTTTGAGGCGGGTTGAGGTGTGACGCAACGAGAAGCGCGACAGTTCAGTCTAAAGAACATGGCGGCTTCAGCCGAAGAAACTAGCGTTAGCGTGGCTATCGAGCAAGTTTTATCGGAATTACAGAGTATTTCTTCACTGAAAGAAGAGCAAAACACTGCTCTGGAGGCTTTTCTCAGAGGAAAAGATGTTTTTGCTCTTCTCCCGACTGGTTTCGGCAAGAGTAGCCTGGCTGTTAGTACGTCATATACTTGGTTGATCTGATTGGTTTATTTGGCCCGTCTATCACCAACATAGGCCAATCAGCTAACCAGTATTTTCGCCCCTTCCCAAAATTACTTCAACGGAAGGTTTCCAGATGGATATGCGGAGCAAATCCATCTGGCGGAGTCAGGTTAGTGGACCCGTTCGTCCGGTTCAATTTGTAAATTTTCTAAGTCTAAACAAGGCTTGTTTTTTGATCCCCTCCATAAAGCTTCGAACTCAACCGTAATTCATACATTTTGAATTGAAAAAGCTTCCTGGATGGGAAGCGAAACGTCTTCAAAGTTGGCAACAAAAGTCCAGTGGGTTGTTTTTAACTTTTTTAGTGACACATATATGTATGTATGTATTTGTGGTGTCTGACACAAAAATGCTTTTCAACAAACTCCTTGACCCCAATTTAGCTCCATAGAAAATACATAGAAACAGCAGAAGAAAAAACCGTTGCAGAGGAGTAAACGCTTTGACAGGTGGAGACTGACCTTCTAGCTGGATGACTCTAAATGGGTTAGATTGAGTCAGCCAGTAGCTATAAGGTTTTAGTCACTGTCCACCAGTGTTGGGCACGTTACTTTGAAAAAGTAATTAGTTATAGTTACTAGTTACTTCTCCCAAAAAGTAACTGAGTTACTAACTGAGTTACTCCACAATAAAAGTAACTAATTACTAGTAAAAGTAACTATTGCGTTACTTTTGCGTTTCTCGCCCCGGTAACCCTCACCACCCGGCCCCCACCTTCTCGCCGTGTGTTTCCAAAGCCAGCTGAATAGAGTGGACGACGAAGACAAGAACCTGCAGACAGTTTAGCATTTATTGCAACTCAACGTAAATGACATCATGGGGGAACGCGATGTGAAGTTTTATAACAGGACATTCAGATCCGGTGAGTGAATGAAATTAATAACTGGGGATGTCTAATTCTGAAATCCTGTGTGTTTGGGTTGTTATGGATACTGCAACATCTATCTATCCATCTATCTATCTAGATCTATGCTCTGCGTGGTAACATAAAATATGGATCTCCATCCCTGCCACAAAGGCCATCAAATAATGTTTAAAATAAAAAATACAGTAGGTTGAAAAGGCAGAGTATCCATCCATCCATCCATCCATCCATCCATCCATCCATCCATCCATCCATCCATCCATCCATCCATCCATCCATCCATCCAGATCTCTCCCTTTTATTTGATCGTTCACGCTCTCCATAGTTCTCCTGTGGCGCGAGCACAGGGCGACTGTTACGCGCCTTTAGCGAGCATGCGCGTTTCCGGTCGCTTGCGTGTTGACTCGTGCCGCCTGCGCAGTGCGGAGATGCAGGGGAAACTGTATGTAGTGGGGAAACGCAGCTCGATGTAACACCGGTATTTCCATCTGGAAAACTCTGTTTTGCTGCTGGAGTCCTCCTCACTCTCCATCTCTCTGTGTGTGCTGTACGTTAACACCCACCAGCAGAAACACCATCCTACCCAACTGACAGACGGAATCTCACCATACATCAGCCATTCTCATCCTCCCCTCTCTCATGACAAGGCGCGCACCTCTGGATGACCTAAAAAATTATCTTTAATATCTCTTAAACAAAAGTAGCACAAACAATATTTTTTTTCTGCACAAATCTGCACTAACCATTCAGTCTATTTGCAGAGTTTTTTGACGTGGGTGGGGTGTCAGCTTCACGCAGCTGCGCACGAGTCCTATCATGAAAAAAGGTTCATTGTGCGACCTGAGTAACGCGCAGTAACGGGGTGTCTGCAATGGTAACTGCGTTATAGTTACAGTCAAAGTAATTAGTTAGATTACTCGTTACTAAAACAAGGTAACGGCGTTAGTAACGCCGTTACTTTCAACGCCGTTAGTCCCATCACTGCTGTCCACACATGAATCTGATAAAGAAGCTGAGACAGGAATCAACATTTACTATGTGTTTACACTATAAATCCAATCTGACTGTCCAAAGCTGGTGGACACGTCCCTCTAAACACTTAATATGGACTTAAGGTGGGAATAAATAATGTTACTTTTTACTTGGACAAAAATGTTAAGAATCAAACATTGTTTTAATTGCACATCACAAAGATGTTCTACTTTGTGATTGATCTGTCACATAAAAAAAACATAAAAGTTTGCAGTCATAGCGTGACAAAATGTGAAAAATGTCAAGCTCTCTAAAAGGCGGTGGAGCTCTCTGCTGAAGGTCTTTCATCTCATTGGCTTCAGTAATGACTGATGTCCCGCAGCATGACAGGTCCCCTCGTCGGTAGGAGACCGTCGCCGTTCTCCTGCTTGTTAGAGGAGAAACCGTAGAGCTGTTTGACTTGTGCACATGGTAAGCAGGTAACCACCGTAACATGCTAAACACAACCTCATCAGGTAGCATGATCGCTATTAATTTTTCAGCGAGACAAATAATAGAGAGGCCTGGCTGGGAAGTCTATCTGCTAGCATGCTTGGCTGGACATGATGTAAGACTGTGCCCATCTAAAACGTTAAAAAATAAATGTGACTGCGAAGAGAGCGCAGAGCGTATTAATAAAACAAGACAGCACATACAACCTGATTTTTTTTTCCATTTCTCCAGGACAGTTTCTTTTTTTTGTTCGGCCAGGTCCCGTCACCTCAGGGGACCTCAGCGGCCTGCTTGTAGGTGGAAATATTCCAGGCTGAACACCATCCGAGTGACAAAACATAACCTTGATGAGGAAAAGCAGCTCCTCCTCCTCCTCCACGCTCTGTTTATTGGCCCTCCTTATGGCTGCACATGGCTGCTTTTGACAGCTTGTAGGTGTGACTTTAAACGTAAAAAAAAAAGAAACCCTTACCTTGAGCAAACAAAAGTTTCTTAAGGAAAGAAAAGGAGCAGACGTGTTTGCAAAGCTACACTAGCTCACAGCCTCTGGCACCACCTAGTGAGGTTCAAAGACTGAAGACTAATATGCAGTCAGTGCTGCTACATCCTCTAGGTTAGGATGCCTCCAGCAGCCCAGTGGACAGTAAATAAAAGGCTATTTTTTCTTTTGATGCAGAGGGATAAAGTCATAGCAAGGCCTCTGCTCTCATAACTACCGTCTTTAGAGTTGGGGTCAACATGACACACTGGAAAAATGATCTAGAAATAGGTAAAAAGTGTATTTACACTTAATCTGAGTAGGTAAATTAGGTATTTTGCCAATGTAATGAGCATTTTTACCCTTAAAATAAGATAATTACATAACATGCACTTGAAATAAGATAATGCAATTAAGTTTTTTTATTTTAAATGTAAATTTTCTTGTTCCATCGGCAAAATGTCTCTTGTACCTCCTCAATCCAAGAAGAAATGCACATATTTTAAGAAAAAATGAGTTATCTAGATTTAGATTTTTTTCCAGTGCAGAGGTGAGAGCAGGTCAAAGGGATCAAAACTGTGACCAACATGGCGGCAGCAGCAGCAGCAGCGGAAGTGATGTCTACATATTTAGAAAAATTAAAGTCAGCAAAGAAACTGGTCTTTAAAGGCAAAGTGATGATTAAATCTCTTTCCTTATATCTATGGACAAATTATTCACAGATGAAATATTTATCCGCATTCATTTTACAGAGAGCATGACAGATTGACAATTACAGCATAAATTATTTGGCTATTTTAGGTTTTTTACCTAAAAGGATACTTCTAAATGATGAATGTATTAAAAAAAATTGCTAATGAAGACAGAAATGTACTTTGTGGATCGACTCAGATCAACTCAGGGACGCTCTCATGGATTTCCAAAAAAGAGCTCCCAAAAATGTATAAATGAAT